TGAGTTTGAAGTGTTATTTTTTTTTTAAAATTTGGATGAAGCTATAGGTTGTCGCTTTCATACATTCCAGCACGCATAGCCGAAGTTTGTAGGATTTTGTTTAAGTTATATCTCGCTTCGTCTCCGACTTGCTTTCTAGTTGGGTTTGATTGATGTAAATCGCTTGGTTTATCATAGTTATTTCGTTTATGAGTGACATTAATATTATGATGTGATATTGAATTTTACCCTCCTAATTCCCTTCTTTTGTCTTGTTTTGTTTGCATGTAAAACCATTCTCGAGTCCTCACGGACCTCACTCCGATTCCTTGAACCTTCTCGTTGAGCCATAAAGGCTCAAAACACTTTTTCCGAGTCAGCCAACCCTTGAAAGGATGTACAGGTTGAAAAAAACCCAGCAGAAACTGCTGGAAAAGTTGTTGCAGGGATTTGAAGAACATGTATACAGCAGTATACATGTTTTATACACAGTTGTGCACTGATATACAGGTGGAAGGCATACAGATAGATCCGAGTTCGAAATCTGAGTTGACGACAGGGAAATTACACTCCTGAAAAGGAGTTTTCAACTTCCGAAAGTTGAAAAACAGGCAGATATACATACTGTATACACAGATATACGTGAACGATATACTATAGATATGCTTAAAAAATATGAATGGCAGGGGAACGTACAGGGACGCTTATTTTAACTAAAATTTGGGATTAGGCAATTAATGCGGACGTAGGGTGCAGCCCATATACATTATTGGGTGACGATATACACTTGTTAAGTAAGTTTAAAAAAAGGATACAGGTACAAATACGCATGGCAATACAGGGAAAAATAACGGAAGATATGTATTCAAACAGGTGCAGGGCTCAAGAGGTCCAAATGGGTCAAATATAGACTGTATACAGCATGTATACATTTGTGTATACCCTTCATGATCTTTTTTTCTAGAATGGGCCAGGGCCCTTCAGCAATTTTTTAACAGGCCCAAGGGGCCAAAATGTTTTTTGCAGGATTTTAATTTGTTGAAAGGGCCCAAGTCCACATTTGAAATTAGATAGGACAGGTGGGCTAAAGCCCAATGGAATGAATTTGGGCAATGAGGCCCAAGTTCAAATTTTTTTCTCCTCTTTATTTATTATTTGTTTGAATTAATTAATGTGTGGTAGAATTTTAATAATCTCCTAAAGGGTAGCCAATCTTCACTCTTTTAAAATTTACCACTTTATTTGCTTATTTTTGTTTTATTTTATCACCATTTCCCCTTAAGTTTCTCCTTTAAATGTTTCCCTTTTAGAAGTAATAAGAAACAAAAAATTTAAAAATTAAAAAATATATCAAAACGATTTCTTACTAAGTTAAAAATTAAAAAATATATATTAAAGTCATCTTAGTCAAATCGTCGGTCAACCGCAAGTTAGCGGGCATCCCGAGGGCCTAACACCTTCTCGGGATGTACATTGAACTTCGAACCTTTTCAATCGATTTTAATCTGTTTTTAAATCTTTTGAAATTTTTCTTGATTTTATCAAAATCAAGTGGCGACTCCATAATTTTGAAAAGTCAATTTTTCTTAAACAATAAGATTAATTGATTTTTCGAAACCTAGTCAATATTTTTTTCCATTTTAAAACCAAAATAGTTAGTAGTATTTTTTAAAATAAAACAATGGGAAAAGACATAGATTCCTCCCTGAACTATTACGTACCGGAATTTTGTTTTTTCCCCTAACTTAACAAATCTGACACGCCTATTTTGATTTTTTTAAAAATTATTTTGCCACATCAGTTTGAGGGGGTTAATAAATTCACTTTTTAAACAGTAAAGGTATGTAATAGATCGTCATAATAGTTTAAGCGTGTAACTGACATTTAGTATCAAATTTAAGGAGAAATTTATGCCTTTTTCCTTTTTTATATCATTTTAATTATGCATGTTACTTTCCTTTGTCACAATTTATGTGGCACTAAGAATTTTGAGAGTAATCTAATTCTTTTTATGTTTTTTTTAAATTGTGTATTTTACAATATTTTTGTGTAATTTCTAAATGAGGAACTTGCGCATATTGTCACTCAAAATAGCCTAAATACCTTCATATTGATAGTTTGATAATTATAATTTGTAGCTACATGTCATAGGGGAGGAGCAAGGCGAACGAGATTGGGAGAGTGAAAGGAGAGAGACAAGTGAGAGAGGTTAGAGAGTAGAAGAGAGGTGAATTGTATAAGTATATATATATATATATATAGGTTAGATAATTGTATATTATACATATGTGTTTATACATATAGAAAGTGAGATTGGGAGAAGGAGGAGAGAGTCAAGTGATACTGGGTGAGGAAGGAGAGAGGCGAGCGAGAGAGTCGGAGAGAGGTGAATTGTATATGTATATCGATTAGATAACTATATATTATACATATGCATTTGTATATAAGACAAACGACATTGAGAGAGGGAGAAGAGAGGCGAGCGAGATTGGAAGATGGAGGAGAGAGACAAACGAGATTGGGAGAGGGAGGAGAGAGGACAATATTATGTATAATTCACATCTCATTTGTATAATTCACTGCGACGTTTGTATAATTCACATGTTTTTGTATAATTGAGTAATATAAAGTCGGAAATTATACAAACATGATAAAACTTGAAATAACAAATTGGCACAAACATAAACATATGAACTTTAAACAGTTATACAAAATATACTACACAAATTATATTATATAAATTATATTATACAATATATGAAAATTACACATTTATATTAACTTTAAAAAGTTATACACAAAAAAATTGAATGTATGGTGACAAAACAGAAAATCAAAGGAAATCATGGTCATATACAAATATAAATCATTATATACAAATACAAATCAAAATTAAAGAGAATTGCTAGTTGCGAATTATACAAAATGTGGTTGAATTATACAACTCGAAATCCGCCCACGTAACTTATAGTCGCGAGTGATAATTATAGCAAACAATAATTATGATGAGTAATTAAATACTATACGTTTGCTTAACCGCGTAATTTTTCTATTTTAAAAGGAAACTCACATATAGCCACTTAAAAATAATTAATTACTCTCCATAGCTATAGTTTGCTGATTACAATTTGTAGCTACATGTTATATGGAGGAGAGAGACGAGAGAGAGGGGGAAAAGAGTAAGAGAAAGGTGAATTGTATATGTATATTGGTTAGATAATTGTATATTATACATATGTAATTGTATATATAACAAGAGAGACTGGGAGAGGGATGAGATAGGCGAGCGAGACTAGGAGATAGAGGAGAGAGGCGAGCGAGAGAGGGAAGAGGATGGGAAAGAGGTGAATTATATATATATATATATATATATATATATATATAATTGTATATAACTGTATATTATACATATACATTTGTATAAATGGCAAGCAAGATTGGGAGAGGGAGGAGAGAAGCGAGCGAGATTGAAAGAGTGAGGAGAGAGAGTAGAGAGTGGGAGAAAGATGAATTGTATATGTAATTATGTATATAGGCTAAAAAATTATATATTATACATATTTATTTGTATATCCTGGTGAATTGTACATATACAAACATGACTACTTATACAAATTCGAAATCAGCCCACGTAATTAATGTATAATGTTAATTGCGAGTGGTAATTATAACAAACTGTAGCTATAATGAGTAATTAAATAGTATAAGTTTACTTATTCGCATAATTTTTCCTTCTAAATATATAATATATTAAAAAATAAAATAAACAAAATAAAAATATTCCAAAAAGTAATGTCCTCGGTTAAAAGTAGTCCAGGAATGTTATCTGCTTCTGGCCACCTCTATACATAATGAAAAAGTTGGAACCAAAGTAGATGGGTAATAACTAGTAAGGATAAAAGAAAAACAATTATCTTGCCGATGTGTTATCAATTTGCTTTTGTCTATTTTTTACTGAATTTATTTGGAGAATATTTTTATTTGCACCTGCCTAATTTCAACTAAAATTTTAAAAGAAATTTCTTTTAAATATGCACTAGAATATACAAACAAATATCTACTCCACAATTTTGTTTCCATTATCATTATTTTTCCGGAAAGAATTACAACAAGTATCAAATATGATGTTGTGAAATATGTTATAATATTTTGAACTACTTTAAAAAAAAGAAGTTATTGTAAGAGCAGTCTAAAATAAATTAAAATTATTTTATTCTGTTCATATATTATCTTATCTTCTTTTTAATAAAGGAAAAACTTAAATATGTTATTATACTTTGTGAAAAATTTCATTGTGTCATCCGATAGTTTTAATATAAAATTATAATCTATTCTTAATAAGTTTTTAGTTACATTAATTCCTTAAAGATTAAAAAATTTTTGGATACAATAACTGAAGTTCAAATACATTAAATACTGTCTCGAATACATTAATAACTAACTTGGATACATAATATATAGCTTAAATACATTAAATACTGAATCACATATATTCATATATAGTTCGGATTACATTAAGAACTAGGTCGTATACATAATATATAACTCGGATACATTAAATACTGACTTGGATACATTAATATACAGTTCGGATACATTAAAAAAGTAAGAGATTTTGGAGATTTTGAAAAAGTAATAGAGTATAATGGAAATAAGTGAAATAAAAATGTATATTTCTGTAATTTGTCCTTAAAATTTTGGCTTATCTATATCAGTTTTGTTTGAGAAAAGAATTCATTCATGTCATTATTTGTTAACTGAAATGGTATATATAAATCATTTACTTTTAAAATTTAATTAAATTAAGATATGATGGAATCATAATTGATATGGATAAAAAATGATTTTGTGAAATTATTTTTTTTTAGTTAACGAATATTGACGCGAATGAATTTTTTTAGAACAAAAACAGATATAAATAGTCCAATTTTAAATATAAAATGTGATAACATATTTAATTCTTTTTCCTTTTCAAAAACGATAAGCTAAATTACTCTTGCAATTATTCCTTCTCATAAAAACAATATGTCTGGAATATTGTAGAAGTCTCTGACTGTTCCGTATCTAAAATGAAGCAAAGAAGAGGCTAGAATACACTCGAGTTTCTCAGATTCATCGACTATAAATACCACCGTACTTTCTTTAGTTTGTCCATCACCAAGCAATCAAGCAAATTAAGCACCACAATCTAAGATCCTCTGTTTTCTTCAAACAACAAATGTCTCTGATTCCAAGCTTCTTTGGTGGTCGGAGAAGCAATATCTTCGGCCCATTTTCCCTTGACCTATGGGATCCCTTCGAGGGCTTCCCAATTGCCAACACCCCATCCTCTGCTCGTGAAATCTCTGCTTTTGCAAATGCAAAAATTGATTGGAAAGAGACCCCACAAGCTCACGTCTTCAAAGTGGATGTTCCGGGGATCAAGAAAGAGGAGGTTAAAGTTGAAGTAGAAGAAGGAAGGATTTTACAGATCAGCGGTGAGAGAAGCAGAGAGAAAGAGGAGAAGAACGATCAGTGGCACCGTATGGAGAGGAGCAGCGGTAAGTTCAAAAGGAGATTCAGGTTGCCGGAGAATGCAAAAACAGGGGAAATAAAGGCAGAGATGGAGAATGGAGTGCTGACAGTGACTGTTCCAAAAGAAGAAGAGAAGAAGAAATCTGAGGTGAAGGCAATTGACATCTCTGGTTAAACAAGTGTTTGATGAAATTTCCTTTCTCAATAATATGTGTTTCTCAAGTACTTTTGGTTTGTTGGAGATTAAGATCTTAATTTTAATTTATGTATAATTGTGGTCTTCTTCTACTAGCATTTGTAAACAAGACAATGTCGCGAGTGTTTAATTAATGAAAAATTTCTTTTTGTTGTAAACTGGATGTCAACATTATTATATCATTTTGCGGTAAGTTAATTATACACACCACATCTGTGTTTAGACTTTAGTGGTGTATACTATTTGCCTCTATCATATATTGATATGATACATAAATATAATTCTTATTCTTAATTTGACATTTCTAGTATATGATCTTTACCGTAAGTTAGAGGGCTCAAAATGAGCCTATATTTAATAACTCATTCATACTTGTTCAACATAACTTAGATTTAGGTCAGTTTTCAATCCAATTCAATAAATCTGTTCTAAATAAATTTTCAATTGAGCTCAATATATTCTCCACTTTGATACGAATTTTTGAGTTTTTTCTTTGATTTTGATTTCAATCATCGATCTTTGCTTGGTGCAGTGAGAGTTGAACTACTAGTTGTTAGAATGTTGTATTTTCAAGTCAAAAACAGTAGCAAGAGCTTAGCATAGAAAAGTATCTGAAATTTACCAAAAAGCCATATCAAATGGCTGGACCCAAACAAATGCTATTATTTGCAATTACTATTACTATAGGTCGATTGCTATTTATTCACAGCATAAAACGTTCTATATTTTGTACTTAAAAAAATCTAGACAGTGCAGTGACTGATCAATAAGTTAAAAAGAGGCAATGATATGAGAACACAATTCACCAAATTTGTTCTCAGATTTTTCTTGTTTCTCAATAATCGATTTCGGAAGTTATAGTATTGTTCTGTACTTTCCACTCAATATTCTATCATAGTCCTACCTATATCGTGTTATTATTGCTATTTAATATTTGTATTATTTTTTAATATCGTGTTGTATTTTTACTTGCTACTTAGTATTGTGTTGTACTAACCAAAGATTTTGCTTGCATAAAGCAGGTTAAATTGGATGGATCATGACCCAATTCGATTTTAACCTATTTGAACTCAAAATTAATTGGGCGGATTATTACCCATTCTGCTTTATAATGCGGCCCATCTTAACTTTTTCAATTTCAGGCCAATTCACTCATTTGACATCCCTAATAAAGGTACTTAAATTTGTATGAAATTGAACAAGTAGACATAGTGGTGTAACCAGAAATTTCACGAAGGATGTCCAGAAATTATGTACGAATACATTTTTTCTTTTGGTTGAATGAGTGCACTAGAAATTTTTTAAAAATTAAACTACGTAATATATAATAATTTAATGAAAAAAGTATGTAATATACATGATAAATTTGAGAAAAAAGAGGAAAACGATGAAAGGCGCCCTAGAAATTTTACATGAAAAATTTGAAAATAAAAGGAATAAATTTGAATTAGAAATTTTAAAAATTAAACTACGTCGTACACAAGAATTTTTTTTTGAAAATAAATAAATATGTAATATACATGAAAATTTAGAAAAAAAAGGAAAAAGATGATAGGCGCCCTAAAAATTTAAAAAATTTAACTACATAATATACATGAAATTTTTCAAAAAAATACTTAATATACATGAAATTTGTTTTTTTTTTAAAAAAAAGGAAAAAGATGATAGGCGCCCTAAAAATTTAACTACATAATATACATGAAATTTTTGAAAAAAGTACGTAATATACATGCAAAATTTTTTTAAAAAAGAGGAAAAAAATTTGAACTAGAAATTTTAAAAATTAAACTACTTAACATACATGATTTTTTTTTTTTTGAAAAAAGTATGTTAATACATGGGAAAATTTGAAAAAAAAGAGGAAAAAGATAAAAGGTGCCCTAGAAATTTTTAAAATTTAACTACGTAATATACATGAAAGTTTTTTGACAAAAAAAAGTAACATACATGAAAAATTAAAAAAAAAAAGAGACAAAGGTTTGAAATTTGAAAAAAAGAGGTTGAAAACAAACATAATATATAATATTTTACTTGTATATACGATATAATTTCCCGGTGGACACCCTGAAAAGTATATAGCTACGCTCCTGAATAAACACACATGTGCTACATGATACAATAGATTGTAAAACGCCACACAAGACAAAATAATGACGAAATCATGTTAAGAATTGAATAAAATAGAATAAGATTTGGGGTGATTTTGAACTTTGAAAATAATTGCTTCATTGTCAATTATTGAAAGCATGAGACTTCTCCTTATGTGTACAACGCTACTAATATGTTCTGAGCGAAAGGGTTATGGATAAAAGAGCTTGGATTGATTTTTAAATACTGGAGAAATTTGAAGAGTTGTTTTTGAAGGAATCTTAGATTTGAGAATGATTTAGAATTTGAAATAACTAGATTTTTTTATATTTAACTAGGAGACTATTTTAAGATACTAATTTATTAAAAAGTTATCGAAAACAATAATTTTTAAGCCAAGGAGCGTTATGAATGCGCCCTTAGAGTTCTGGAACCCTGAAATAGCAACCTTGCATGTCGCTATAGCAGATGACACCTTGCACTAATCTAGAAAATGCACCAACACAAATATCTGATAATTCTGGCAGCCAATCTTAAGCAGACATAAAGAAAACACCTATACTAGTTTTTAACTTCAATAATATTCACACCTTACAGAACCCTATCTAATTCAATTTTGAGGTCTTTTATGTTTTAAAAAAAGAACACTAATACTTGTCCCTTTTATATAATTTACCCACTACGATGAGAATGTTATAAATGAGAGATGCATTTCTCTAACTAATAAATAATAGTTTAGATATTAGGTTTATTTTTGACACTTATATCTATTTTTTATGTCATTTTGAAAAAATATATGGAGAAAATAATTGTTTTCGTCCCTCTGTTATTATCTTTTGTTGATTTTGGTCCCTATAATATCTCACTAATCATACTTAACCTTTAATTAATTAAAGCAAATGATTTCAGTCATTTTACTAACAGTGAATGGTAGTTTAATAGATCACTTATTGTTGTCAAGGAAAATTTCGGTATTACAACAAAAAACACTTCTGCGCAGAGAACAAAACCCAAAACTAAAACGTGTTTATAACTTCTCCCATAACATCATTTCTTATACACAACCATATCTCAGCCCTGCTGCCTTCTTCAATTTGAATGTGGATCCAATCCTTTCATACACTACTTTGTGTTTTCGTTTATTGATGAACAATTTTTCTCTTTAGTTGCCTCCCCATTTATACGAGAATATAATCCAGACACTTCTGCAACACAGAAAATAACTCAGTACACTTATTGAAGAGAAACAATATCATTTTATTTCACAATGAAACTCAGAAGCAAGAATGGGCTACAATTCACGTGGCATGTAAGTACTCAATTAATTTATTTATAGCCTGAATCTTTGATTGTATGGAGATCTGGGGAAAAACGTTGAGTTACAGAACGCAACTAATATTTCACATAAAGAATGAATATCAATTTTTTTACAAAAGTTATTATAATTCTTATATGTGTAGTGCATATTCTAAATTTATATGACATATTAGATTTTGTGTTTGTTCCACGTATTAGAATGCCATAAACATATTTGAAAATTGAGAATTGCACATAATTAAATGTGAAGTACTCATAAACTATGATACATATACGTCAACCTTTTAAGAACTGTAGTTTGCTTAATTCAAATTAAAAATTAATTTAGATTTTCATTATTGGTTACATATTTATGTGTTGGATTTGTATCATTTACATTTCCTAGTGGAGATGTTTATTTTTAAAAGACTAATAGATTCTACTTTTTCTTTTGCATGACAGATGAAGGTGAAGATTCACATATGTACACCATTAAATTACACTATAAAAGTTGGTGGGTGTTTGAGCTAGAGATGAACTATATTAATGGACATATAGCTTCTTATGACTATTGCAATGGAAATGAAAATTCCATTATTCAGACGAGGCAGTGTATGATTATTTTTTTTTAAAGTCAATGATAAAAGGTGAAATTTTGATTCAAGTTTGAGCCTTATTTTGAGACGAGTATAAGACTTTTAACAACTGACTTAGATATATATAACTTTGTCTATGAAATACCTGACAATAGAGAAGTTAAAAATATTTGTTGAGCACACGGAAGTTGAAAGTTGCTAGGGCAACTACAAAACCTGAATCCTTCATATGAAAGATATAAAAGATAGATCCAAAAGCTCCATCATGGTTTATTAAGAAGCAATCATGTCACTAGTCAAGAGTTTTTTTCTCTTCTTTTTCAAAATGTGATGTGTTATTAAACAATTTGTATGAGTCATTCAATAATGTACTTCTACAAGTAAAAGACAAATATATTTGGACAATGACTTAATCTATTAGGATCTATATGCTGTCCAAACTTCAAAAGAACAAAGATAAAATGATGAAGTACTACCAGAGAATCTATCACAAAATCATGTTGAAGCTAGAAACTAAAACGGCTGAATGTATTGCCACTAAATCTGATCAATTCCACTATTAGATTGAGGACATCTATCTTAGCCTATTCTCTGTTGATCTTAAAAACAAGACATGTTCTTGTAGGAGATGGGACTTAACAAGAATACCTTCTAATCATCCTATTGCAGTTATATGGGTTAAGAATGATGAGCCTGAAATATATGTCATGAATGTTATACAACTGATCGGTACACGAAGAGTTACAATGCATCCATCCTGTCAGGTTCGAACCCCCATTGCCACCAATATACAAAGCACAACTGCGGAGACCAAGAAAACTAAGGAAGAGGGATTGACGAGACAATTAAAAAAGAATCAAATTCTGGAAAGCTCACTTTGTTAAAATCATCAAGAAAAGGCAGAAAAAAGAAGTGTGGATCATGTGGAACATAAGGGAAAAATAGTAGAAACTGTCCTATTCTTATGTAGAAAATCCACTCTAAAGTTCAGCAACAACATAGTTATCAACAAGTCAGAAAGGAAGGACCTTCTACACCTAATAATGTAACAAAAGTAAGTTGTCAAGTAAATTGGTTCTTTTCAATTATTGTTGTCTACTTAATAATGCAAAAGAAGTAGTCAAACAAATTCAGGATAATGATACAATTTTTTATTGTACGATTCAAGCACCACAACATCAATGCAGTCCAATTATTTTATCGCTAAACAAACTGTAATTACCTTTCTTGTTATCTACTAAAGTTGCTTGTATTCGACTTACTATCTACTAATTTTTGCTTGTATCCGACTTACTATCTGACTCATTTTCTTATATATATATTGTAGGTCAATCAACTCAACCAACCAAGGGTACCAAAAGAGTAATTGAGAAGTTCTGCTTTCATTTTACAAGAAATTGGTGAGCATTCCAGAGAAGTTACAAGACTACTCTTCACCGAGAGAATGGGAACACAATATGTACCAATTTTAAAATTACAAGAAGTACTTTCTTAAAGTAGCAAGAGGGTGGAAAGTGATCCATGGTCCATGAAAAAAATGTTCCTTAAATAAAGTACATACACAAGTTCAGATCCAGTTCTTTCGTTATGACTTTGAAGTTATTCATGTTCATGGATGATTTTGTTTTCTTTTTTGAAATTTTATGCAACTTAAATAATTACTTTTCCATGGTCAGTTTTCATAATTGTTCTTCAGTATGACGTGAGAAAGTATTTTTATTGAGTTTCACAAGGATAAAATCTATGAAAGACGAGAGAATCAATTATTGAACATGAGAATTCGAAGTTACTAATTTAAAATTCATGCATCAGCTTTTAAGTTCACCAAAAATTAGTTTATATAGTTGCTTTAGTCTATCAATTTAAACACATATATTGTATTAAGGATAGCGTATCTTGTAAAATAGTGAAAGGTGCAGAAAGACTAAAAATGTTAAGTCTAATTAGCTAATTCCTTTATACATGTCTCTATTTATCATTCAGAAATTTGAACCAAATCCTCCTTCACCGAGTTTGTTTTCTACTTTGAGTTATTTGTTGTTGAGGCAATTTCCTCAAATTCAATTAGCGAAAGTTCAATTGGATCTTCTTTCTTTAATGACAAACCATAAATTCTATTATCAAATATTTGGCAATAACGAACAAGCTTCTTAACTTAAATATAGTCAGTACACACAGTTTTCAAATTCTAAATTCTTTCTACAAAGATTATTTCTGTTAGAAAATAAAAAGTTTAAGCTAAAACAGAATGGCGTACCTTTAAGGAGATTGAGGTTCAAATATAAAGTATGCTATCATTCACTATGGTTGTGATCAACTAGTGCTTCCAACCAGCATTTACATCTTAGTTTCAGGGCAAAACAACAAAATTTAGACCATTTCAGGGCATAACAACATAGACAACAAGGACCCATATAGACAATTCCAACTTTCTTGCGAGTGACACATGATTTTTTTCATCAGTCATCCCATGTGTTATATGGTTCGTTTGATTTTTATGAAAAAGCTAACAACTATAGTTGGCAAACTGAAGTGCATTTTACTATTTGCAAAGTTGTTGTACGATTGAAATTCATGACTTCTTATATTTATAAGAGCCCGAGCAACTAAGGTTGCCAATTGTTTTCTCCTTGTTCGAAAAGTGAAGCAGAAATGATTAAGAGTGTATTTATCTTTATACAAATATTCCGGTTTTAGATCTTAGTTGCCAAAGAAAGTTATCCAAATGATCGAAGCTGTCCTAAGGAGATACCTTCGGATTGGGAAGGCAGAAATGTCAAGAAAGTGAAGCTACATGCTAAATCAATATATAAACAGAGCATTAGTATCGAAAGCTACCAGCTGAGGTACTGAAGGAAAGATCTTTTTGGAGATCCCTAGGTAAGTTGAGTCTGCTGGAGTTCCTGTAAAATGAAACTAGAATGTTTGTGCAAGTTATAAAGAGAAAAAGGCACAATTATCATTATAATTGAAGTCTGATAATAGGTTGGACTCTAATGGAATTGTAAAACTCTGAATCAAATTAACTGGTGTTCGAATTCGAAGATATCATTTGCTTTTGTTTTCTTTACAAGATTTTAGTTCAATATTTGAACTTTTGTTGTCATTTTATCATTTCCAGTAGTAGGATAGTGTAAGATAATCAGTCCAGTCACAGTAGCTAGTTTGTGGGAATATGAATATATTAAACTTACAAGCACAAAATACAACAATTTCTTGTTTAGTTATGCGTGGTAATAGACTTTGAGAGACACTAGAGGCAATTGTTATTTTCCCGCTTAATAAGACGCTCTTCTGGCTTATGGAGGGTTAGTGATATCATTTTTATATAGCCAAACACATTTTATTGAATGACTTGAACTGAGAAGTGTGTTTTCTCTAAGACTTAAGTTTATCCCTAAATTTGTGCATGTAGCTTTCTCCGTCCCCTTCGTCAGGCAGTGCTTGTGTGGAGGGTGGTCCACCTGAAATCGGACTTGAAACTCTCTTACCAACAAGCCGAGAGTTGATGGTTGTTGGTCTTGACGTAAGCATAAAAAATCAAACAACCAAATCAATTTTACCTACCTTTAACTTAAGCTACCATGTACAGATTATTTGTAAGCAAAAGCTTTATATATCAAATCAGATAAAACATTAATCATAAATCTTAATCTTAAATTCAGATAAAAACAACCAAACTCAAGAAACAAAAAATCTGGACCGAAGCTTGCAAGAATAAAGATCAAAGAGGGATGGAAAAGTACCTTTAGCTCAAAGCGAAAAATAGTGAAGAAAACCCAAAAATTGATAAAAATCTTAGCAAAGTTCCTTCCTATAGGAGTTCTGCCTTGAATTTTTTCCTAAAATTTCATCAACAATTTGTTGAGTTCATCCCCTCTAAAGCTAAGAAAGAAACGAGAGAGAGATGTCACGGACTTAGAGTATTTGCTAAGACTCCGTGCGGCACTTGACAACTTACTCACGAATCTTTCACGATCTTGTAAACTCAAGTAAGCCCTTTATACTAAGATCGCTAAGAGAATGAAAGTAAGACTTAGAGAATTTTTGAAGAAGGCTTTTGTATTATGCTTGGAGAATGCTTACAACTTTCTTAGTTGATTTACAAATGAGAGCCCTTTTTTTTATACTACTTCATAGGGCCTAAAATGTAAATAAAAATTACTTACAAGTCGCTAAGTTATTTACACTTTGATCCCTATTCTAGAAAAGTCTACACTTTCTAGGATCTTCCGAAGACTTTCTTGAAAAGTCTAAGTTATTCTAGAGAATTCCTTTCTTGACTTTCTTGAGAATTTTAAGGAATTCTCTAGCCTTCTTGATTAATCTAGAAGGTTCTAGAGTTCTCTGCAAACCTCTCCACAACTCTAGACCCTTTCATCTCTATTCGGATGTAAAATTTAACTATGATGCGGTGGGACGTAACACTCTCCCCACCTATTGATGCGACGACCGCGTCGCATCATCACTTCATCGGCGATCGAGTTTTGTCTTTTCGTACACGCAACCAATAGTCCAATTATTCGATCAATGACCTCGCACAACTCCTTCAATTGCTTTGTTATCTCTTCTATCTCGGCCTCACGATCTACCTCCTTCCTAGGAGGCAAGCGCCTCGACGGCTTCCTTGGCATCACAATATTATTATCCTTCTTTGGGCGTGGTGGCGAGGCCCTTTTGGAACCATTGTCTTCTTTTAAACTTGCAATAGTGGTTGCGAATGTCATCCCCTTTTTCTTATTGCTTCTTTTGAGTTGTATGGCTGTTAGTCACACTTGTTCTACCGTCTTTGATGCCTTACCCAGGGGAACCATGCATGTTTCTCCTTGATCTATGACCAGAAGTCATTGGAGGTAAGGATTGATAACCGCGTGACACTGCTAGAAGTAATCCTGCCCAAGAATTATATCAAAATATCTAAAGGAGCAACAATGAAGTTGGTTTTACCTTGCCACTCCCCTAGCGTGATGCTTACTCCATGTGCGACGTCACTCACGGGAGTCGGTGGTGCATTGATAGTCCTAAGTTGGGCGTTACTTGAATTGTAACACAGCCACAACCTTGTCACTGCTATCTTGGTCATAATATTGACTTCTGCACCTGTGTTGACCATAGCACGAGCGGGTCTTCCATTGATCGTGATGTCGACATACTGCGCGCCGCATACTCTCGACTTCTCTGGTTGTTTGGTGATAGCTCCGCATAATCCTATCAAGCCCAACTGCTTCGTCTCCGCACCTTGTTCTTTCTCATATGCTTCCTTCTCTTTCCGCTCTCAGAAGGTAGCACCAAGGCTCTTCAACTCAGGGCACCTTGCATAGCCATGAGGCCCACCACATATGTATCAACCACCTCTTTTGGCGACCTCTGTCTTTCTCTATGTGTTGCCATGACATCTAGACTTCTTGCCATCGGACTTATAGGTATCATGCTTCTTAGGATGTGGCCGCTACTCCTCGCCTTTGCCATGATCTCTTTTACCGTTGTCATGACTACCTCTCATCTCATCTCCTTTGGCTATGTCAGGCTTCTCGTGCCTGAAGTCGGTCAAAGCTTCGGCCTGCGTGATGGCTTCATCAATAGTCCCGATCTATCGGCGTTCCAACTCCGTCCTCGCCCAATTTTGCAGCCCATTCATGAAGTGGAAAAACATATCTTCATCCACGAGGTTAGGAATCTGAAGCGTAAGGGTGGTGAATGCGTGTATGCTGCCCGTATGCTTCAGTTCCATAAACTGTCGCGTTGCCTCATAGATAACGTTGTTAGGGAAGAAGGTTTTCTTGAACTCCTCGCGGAATCACTCCCAAGTGTTGATGGTGCAACGCCCCTTCCCTATTTCTGATTCTTTACGCCTCCATCATAGCATGAGCATCTCCGAAAGATACAACACAGTTGTGTTGTTCTTATTTTCGTCGTTTGTTACCCGATTACATTTGAAGTAATTTTCGAAGTACCATAAGAAATTCTCCACCTCTTGTGCGTTATGGACGCCTTTGAACACATGTGGCTTAGGAGCCTCGACCTTGGCCTCCCTATCTCGGTCGAACGACGACGATCCTCCAACTTCCACGCCTTCCTTTAGTGTTTTCACTTCGACCTTCAGCGTCTCGATCGTGATAAGCGCGTCTATAAGCCGACACTCCAAGGAAGTGATAACCTCCTTCATCTCAAACTCCTTACGGATACTCTCGGTCTCCTCAAGGGTGAAGTCCTTCAAGGGTCTTGAACTTGTCGTTGGCCACATTCATGCGCCGACTTAATATCTCCACGGCCTGCCTTTCCACTTCCACCCTTGCGACCCATTCTTCTCTAGCGGTGACGTCTATGGCGTCTTCACCCATTTCTTCGTCACTTACTTTGATAGTCGATGGTGGATGAGATGTTAACGCCTCGCTAGGTGTGGTATCAGGCAGCACCTCCTCATTACACTTTTGATGTTTCTCCCCCTTTTGGTTCTTCTTTCCACCATCCATACGGACGTTGGTGGTGCCAGCGCTGTTAACGTCTCCTTTGGTAGCCATTCCCTTAGTATCAAACCTCGCTCTGATACCACGTTGTTACAGACTTAGAGTATTTTCTAAGACTCCGTGCGGCACTTGACAACTCACTCACGAATTTTTCACGATCTTGTAAGCTCAATTAAACCCTTTTATACTAAGATCGCTAAGAGAATGAAAGGAAGACTTGGAGAAATTCGGAAGAAGGCTTTTGTATTATGCTTGGAGAATGCTTACAACTTTCTTGGTTGATTTACAAATGAGAACCCTTCTATTTATACTACTTCCTAGGGGCTAAAGTGTAAATAAAAATTACTTATAATTCCCTAAGTTATTTACAGTTTGATCCCTATTCTAGAAAAGTCTACACTTTCTAGGACCTTCCAAAGATTTTCTTGAAAACTCTAAGTTATTCTAGAGAATTCTAAGGAATTCTCTAGCCTTCTTGATTAATCTAGAAGGTTCTACAGTTCTCCGCAAACCTCTCCACAACTCTAGACCCTTCCGTTTCTATCCGAATGCAAAATTTAACTATGATGTGGCGGAACTGACATAGAGATATCATTTTGAGAAAGAGGTTTTACTTTGAAGCTTCACTTTCCCAAGTGAATGACATTAATTTGGGAAGTGCCATTCAATGTGAAATGAGTTAATTGACGTGAATTCTAACAAAAAATATTATTATTTATATATATGATTATTGTAATATCAAAATTACCCTTGACAACAATAAGTGATCTATTTAAATTAACATTCACTTTTTGTAGAAGAATCAAAATTTCTTACTTTAATTAATTACAGGTCAAGTATGATTAGTGAGATATCATAGGGACAAAAACCAACCTAATACCTACTCCACAATTTTGTTTCGATTATCACTATTGTTCCGGGAAGAATTATAACAAGTATAAAATATTATGCTGTGAAATAGTTCTAATATTTTGAACTATTAAAAAAAATAGTTATTATACGAGCTGTCTAAAATAAACTAAAATTATTTTATTCGGTTCATATCTTATCCTATCTTTTTTTTAATCAACGAAAAAGCTTAAATATGCTATTAAACTTGGTGAAATTTTTTATTTGTGTCATTGTTAAAATTTTATCTCATCTATATCATTTTTGTTTGAAAAATTATTTATCCATATCATTAGTGTTAACTGAAATAGAATAAGATGAGTCAAACTTTACACGTTGACATAAATGAATCTTTTCACAAAATTTGATGACATATTTTTTATTATTTTTAAAAGATAATTAAATTAATGATATAGTCGAATCATAATTGACACCTATAAAAATGACTTTGCAAAATTAATTTTATTTTTCAATTAATAAAAGACACATATGAAGGTTTTTTTTTTCTTAAAAAAAAGTAAAAATAAATGATCGGATTTTTTTCCTTACAAATATTGACAAAAAGCTAAATTTCTCCTTACAAAAAGAAGATGCAATTATTCCTTCTTTAAAAAAGATCTCTGGAATATGGTAGAAACTTCTTACTGTTCATATCTAAAATTAAGTGAAGAATATCCTAGATTACACTCGAATTGTTTTATTTTCTCAGATTCATCACCTATAAATATCACACATACTTTCTTTAGTTCATCATCATCAAGTCATCAAGCAAATCAAACACTAGAATCAAATCAAAAATTATACAGATCCTCTGTTTTCTTCAAACAACAAATGTCTCTTATTCCAAGCTTCTTTGGTGGTCGGAGGAGCAATATCTTCGACCCATTTTCCCTTGACTTATGGGATCCATTCCCAATTTCAACCAACACTCCATACTCTGCCCCTGAAATCTCTGATTTCGCAAATGCAAAAATTGATTGGAAAGAGACTCCAGAATCTCACGTCTTCAAAGTGGATGTTCCGGGGATCAAGAAAGAGGAAGTGAAAGTCGAAGTGGAAGAAGGAAGGATTTTACAGATTAGCGGTGAGAGAAACAGAGAGAAAGAGGAGAAGAACGATCAGTGGCACCGTATGGAGAGAAGCAGCGGTAAGTTTATAAGGAGATTCAGGTTGCCGGAGAATGCAAAAACAGGGGAAATAAAGGCAGCGATGGAGAATGGAGTGCTGACAGTGACTGTTCCAAAAGAAGAAGAGAAGAAGAAACCTGAGGTGAAGGCCATTGACATTTCTGGTTAGGTACAAGTACAGTGCAGATCAAAAGTGCTTTTCTCAATAATGTTTGTTTTCCTAAGTATTTTGGTTTGTTGGGAAATTAATCTGAATTATGTGCATCTGTAATGTCTAAGTTGTAAACAAAAAAATGTTCTGAGAATTTAAACTTTTAATGAACAATCTCCTTTCTCTTTATCATCCTCTTGAAAATTTCTCTTTTAAGCAATGGGCTCCATATTTATCTATATTACTATACTAGTAAAAGATAGCACTGACTAATAATATATGTGAAATATTTAAAATATTTTTTGATATAAAAATTAGTTGGCCCAAACTTTTCTCTAAAATTCAAAAAGAAATCTGTGCTATATTGAAGTCGCGTTAATGAGCATGACTTAAATTTTTTCCATCTTAATTTTTTTCCTTTGAATCTATATATTGACAATGAAATCCATTTAATTTAATTATGCATTAAAATAATTTGAGGAGTTTATTTATCAATATTATTAGGGGTTTATTTTATTAAATTATCACTTAATTAATGTTATTATAAAGTATTGAAGTAAGTAAAATAGTTAATTGTAGAGGGGTTCGGTAAACATAATGAAATAAGTTAAAATTTAATAATAAATTTTATTATGGAATTAAAATGATCCATTAGTAAGTTTATTAGAAGATATTAAAGTAAGTAAAATGAAGCGGGGTCATTTGATAATAATAATAATAATAATGATAATAATAATGATAATAATTTTATATTTTAGTAAGTAACTAGAAAGCTTTATTAGAAATTATTAAATTAAAGTAAAATAATAAATTGCAGAGGGGGTGGAAAAACATAATAAAATAAGTAAAAATTTTAAAAAAATTTCTATTAAGAAATAAAAATAAGTCATTAGTAAGTTTTATTAGGAAATATTGAAGTAAGTAATTATTTTTTATAATAATAGCAATTTTCTATAAATATTTGCAACAGAAAGGATAGAAATTGATATTATTATTAGTTAAAATTATTGGAATAGCCTCCCGTCAACAAGTAAGTACATTGATAGAGAATCAAATGTTAGAGCTAAAAATGATTCTACAATTGCGAAAAAATTGTATAAAACCAAAGGAAATAATTATTTAATTTTTTTAATAAAAATAAAATAACTAAAATATAAATAAGTAATATATAAATAATCAAATTTTGATTATTAATGTTTACATAAAATTAAAGTTGGAAGGAATTAAAAAGAAAAATTAAAGAAAAGGTTGTCACCGAGGTTCAAAACTGGTACCTTGAACATGAGAAGTTATAACCTCTAGCCAATAGACCAAGATACACTTTTGAGGGAAGCACACAGCTGAAGCAACCATGTTTACGACCAGTTGTGTGCTATTCCCCTTTCTTATATAATAATGTAGAAGTAGTTTTTATTTGTGTTATTGAGTAAGTAAAGCACTCGTGTTAATTTTGTTTTGTATACATAGTATTTGATTGTGTGGACACTTTTAATCAAACAAGTAGAAATAAATGAAATACATTCTATTGAGAATGTATTTATACGTATGCCATTAGTTAGTCATATTAGTTAATCATGTTAATTCAACTTGATTAGTCAGTTATAGTTTGTTTGATTAGTCAGTTATAGTTTGTTGTAACTGACAATTTATTATTTAGTTATTAATCAACTCGTCGTTCGGAGTAGCTAGCTAGGGGCTATAAATACACATGTGCATGTATGTGCTTCTTTTATGAAGTCTAATACAATAATACATTTTTTCTCCCTTCTCTTCTCTCCAATTAATTTCTCCCACGTGAATTTCTCCATTGAAGCTAGTCTTTCAAAGTTTGAGATTCAGTTACGAATTGATGAATTTGACATGGTATCACAGCCACTCATTGATATTTTGAGTTTCCTCTATTTCTAAGCTTTCTAGCAATTATTAGCTATTGTTAGCTTGTCAATTTTTCTTTGTTTCTACGTCTGCTAAACTCACAATGCCTGATGTTGCTACTGTTTCGTCTACTTTCATTGATACAAGTGATCCGTTTTATGTCCATCCTTCTAATAACCCTATACTGTTGATTGTTCCCATTCCTTTTGATGAAATGGGTTATGGATCCTATTGAAGAAGTATCGATCTCTTTCTGTGAAAAACAAATTAGATTTTGTTAGTGGAGATTGTAAAAAGCTTGCTGCAAATTCTCCCCAACTGCATCTTTGGCAGAGATGTGACAACATTGTGACATCTTGGATTTTGAATTCTCTAGTCAAGAAGATCGCAAATAGTGTTGAGTACGTTAACGATTTAGTCTAATTATGGAAAAAATTGGAGGATCTCTATGACCAGGCCAACGGTTCGAAGTTGTCTCGCTCCAAAAGGAGATTAACGACCTGAATCAAGCTGTGTTGGACAACACTTCCTACTACACCAAGATGAAGAAGTTGTGGGAAGAACTCAAAAAGTTGATAGCCAAGGCTCAATGCACTTGTGCTTACATATGTGGTGCCAAGGAAGACACACGCAAAGCTGAACAAGAAAGGCGCTTAATCCAGTTTTTAGTGAGCCTTAATGAAATCTATACTATCGTCAGAGCCACTTTTCTTATGATGAATCCCTTGACCTCGATAGCACAAGCATTTTCAGTACAGATATTAGAGGAAAAACAAAGAGAGTTTAAACCCAAAGGTTAAATGTTAATGGACGTTGTCTCTCTCAATGCATGTTCTTCTAATCCACTGAATTTTAAGACAAATTACTCCACAGAAAATGACAACTCCAACAAGGAAAACTTGATCTGTGATTATTTTAAAAGACCAGGATATAATGTTAGAAGTGTTACAAGTTGCATGGATATCTTTCGGATAATCCTCAATTCACCAGTACTCATAATGCAGGTTACAATCGGAACAATAAGAGGTACAATAATTCTAGGTCCAACGAAAACAATAGGATTGCAACAAATGCTCATGTTCATAAACCTTCTAGTGATAAGATGACTTGGAAGAGTGAGGACAATAGCAATGAAGAACAACATCCGAGTCTCACTAAGGAACAATATGTGCATGTGATGAACCTTCTCCAACACTTCCAAGGAAGTGAGGGCTCGAC